ATGTCTAGTATCAGAGACAACATTTTACTGCCCTCATGCTCTGGTTGCGGCCATCTCACTAGTACAGGGCAGATTTAGGGTAGCAGCCTGCGCTGTATAGGGTTACAGCCTGTGCTGGATGGGGTAACACTCTCCTTAAAGGTGCAGGCTTGCAGCTTGGGAGTCCTCCTGGACTCATCACTGAGCCTGGAACCTCAGGTTGTGGAGATAGCTAGGGAGGCTTTTGCACAATTAAAACTCTTGTGCTAGCTGCGCTTGTACCTTGGGAAGTCAGACTTGGCCATGGTGGTCCACACTCTCGTTACATCCAGGATAGACTACTGCAACACACACTTTGTGGGGTTGCCTTTGAAGACTGTTTAGAAACTTCAAATAGCCCAATAAGAGACAGCCAGGTTAATAAATGAGGCAGCATATAGGAAGCACACAACTCCCATGTTACGTCACCTCCACTGGCTGCTGTTTGCTACCAGGCACAATTCAAAGTGCTGGCTTTGGCCTATAAAGCCCCAAACCGCCCTGGCCTAGTTTACCTGTCCAAACGCATCTCCCTTTATAAACCACCATGAAAACTAAGATTTTCTGGGAAGGCCCTGGTCTTGGTCCCACCACTGTCACAGGCGTGTTTGGTGGGGACAAGAGACAAGGCCTTCTCAGTGATTGCTCCTAGCTATGGAACTCCCTTCCTGGTGAGATTAGATTAGCCCCCTCCCTCCTGTCCTTCAGTAGGATGGTGAAGACCTGGCTGTGGGACCAAGCCTTTGGGGCAGTGCAATGAGGCAATAATATAATTGTGTCCTGAGATGGTTTTTAAACAACTGATTTTAAAGTGGATATAAGTGATTTGCCAACAGGGAGCTCTGGCGTGGGCTGGTCCATGAGGTCACGAAGAGTCGGAGACGACTGAATGAATGAACAACAACTATATTTATTGAATGTTTGCCGTATATATGTTGTGCTCTGCCCTGAGTCCCCTGCGAGGTGAGAAGGGTGGAATATAAATGTTTCTAAATAAATAAATAAATAAATAAATAAATATGTCTTTGGTGTGATTAGAGTTCTTTTTGTCTTTTTATAAGGGCAATTTGCAATGGAAACGTGGAGCTGCAAATCTACTACTTGTTAGAAGCACCCATTAAGTAGATGTCCCATGACTATACTACATCATGTAGTTCAGCCCTATTTTAGCCACTACTTCAAAACATTTTTCCATTACTAAGGTACAATTCAGCTTGGCTTTACAACCAATTCTCATCATAAGTTTCCTAGCACTGTTTTTCCTTTTACGGATTCTTCCTTATAGTTTTTGACATTTTGTTTACTCTAGAGTGTGTTGAGAATCACTGGTTGGGTTGCACTGCATCATGAAAGCACAGATGGTAGACCAATGTCTAAGTTAATCCACAGACAGTGTTTAAATTGCAAAAAGGAAGAAGATAAAGGAAGAAGTGGTGGTGAATACAGCCAGCCATGGTAGCAGCACAAAAGCATTTAGTGGGTGGTCCATTGGGAAAGTAACAAGAGATCTGCAAGACGTCCATTACAATCAACAGAAAGACACAATCGAGCCTCCGCAGGGAATTGGGAGGGGAGAACTTGCTTAAATAAAATTGCAAGATTGTCAGAATGTTAAACTAATTCTCCAATGTTCTGTGCATTGTCTGGGGAGCTTTGGCATTGCATCATTTGATGTACTAAAGCAGTGACAAAATATTTTAATAGCAGTGCTTTGGAAAGTGTTAACATCCTTTTGATCATTTGAAAGAGTTGGCTGCATGTGGTGAAAGCTAAAAATGCTATTTAAGAAACTGACTTGTTCCAAAGCCTACTTCACGCTTTGCTTAAATGACTAGGCAATGTGATTCTCTCAGTCTTACGTAGATGTTTGTGCCAGCAGTTATATGTAAGGCATTACCATTACATTTCAACGACGTCCATACATTTTATTTTGCTGTTTTGTAAATGTCTGTAAAACTATGCCTCAAGAATTAACTGATAGGTTATGACTTTGTTTTTCTGTTTCAGTTTTTTAAACATTGTGTGAGGCTCAGATATTCAGTGAGTCATGTTTCTCCTTGCTTGTAGATATAGGGAAGAATCTAGCAAGAGGATTTCCTTGGGAAATGATGAAATCCCATTGAATTGATAACCTTTCTGCTCTAGTCCCACATACATACCTAAAATCAGTCCTGGAGCATTTGAAAGTCTTGTTATGATGGTTTCAGGTGGGTCAAGAATGGCAGAGGAGATGACATTCCATTTGGTGTAGAACAGTGTCTCTCAACCTTCCTAATGCCGCGACCTCTTAATACAGTTCCTCATGTTGTGGTGACCCCCAATCATAAAATTATTTTTGTTGCTACTTCATAACTGTAATTTTGCTACTGTTATAAATTATAATGTACATATCTGATATGCAGGATGTGTTTTCATTCACTGGACCAAATTGGGCACACATACCCGTTACATCCAAATTGGAATACTGGTGGGGTTGGGGGAGGATTAATTTTGTCATTTGGGAGTTGCAGTTGCTGGAATTTATAGTTAACATCAAATCAAAGAGCATTCTGAACTCCACCAAAGATTAAATTGAATCAAACCCACATGACCAACAGAAAATACTGGAAGGATTTGATGGGCATTGACCTTGAGTTTTGGTGTTATAGTTCACCTACATCCAGAGAGCACTGTGGACTCAAATGATGATAGATTGGACCAAACTTGGCATGGATACTCAATATGCCCAAATGTAAACACTAGTGGAATTTGGGGAAAAAAGACCTTGACATTTGGGAGTTGTAGTTGCTGGGATTTATAGTTCACCTACAATCAAAGAACATTCTGAACTCCACCAATGATAGAATTGGACCAAACTTCTCACACAAAACCCCCATGCCTTGAAGGGACTTGCTGGTGTGAGCCTCCCTCCAACCCTGCACGCTCTCCCTCGCCCGTGCATGCACTCCAAGCCGCCATGCACCAAGCATGCCTGCTCTCGCCTCCCTGCTTGGAGTCTCAGAAACAGCCCTCCCCTTGACTGGGAGGCTGGCCAATCACAATGGAGGATTGCTTTTGGTGGGAGGATTCACCATCTGTTTCAAAAAGGGAGAGAAGGACAGGAAGAGAGATTGTCAACCTTCTCTGCCAAAGGGGTTCCTAAGACCATCAGATATTAAAATGAGTTGCTCTGACTTACTGATTTTTCCAGTAACATGATACAATGACAAACAGAATGTGTACATGTGATTCCAAAAAGTTCCTTAACTGAATAATAGACTTCAGTGTTTAAAAGACATCTGGTATCTTACTTATAAGCCTCCCATACAATCCACCCCATCAACTCACCCTCTGGGGGACATTTACCTCAACCAGCCAGGACAAGATTGGTCACTACTACCCCAGTTTCCCTTAGTCAGAAAAGATTTGACAGCTAATCATACTGTCTGAATTTTAAAAAAAACATTAAAGACCTATTTCCTCTGAGAGGCCTACCCAATCAATTTTAAACTATGCATTTTAATTGACATTTTTAGTTTATATATGGATGGCTGCCTGCTCTCAGTAGCAGAAACAGTCCAGAAGGTAAGAGTTCTACATCAGCCTTCCTGTGCCTGCCTTCTGGACTACAAAACCACCAAGAACTGCTACTGAGCAAGCCTTTGCAAGCTGGGCATGGCTCCCTGCACCTGCTGTGACTACCACTTTAGGGCAGTTGCTGTTGGGAGTGGGTCATTGGACCCTTTAAAAGCTGCCTGCTCTCAGTAGCAGAAACCGTTCAGTGTTGTGGTGGCAGGCTGGATAACTTTGCACCAGTGGCATTGAGGCTTTGGTCTTTGGTGGCTGGCACTGCCAGTGTCACTGGATTTGCGCCCGCCACATTTGTAATCCTGTGGTGGCGTGGCTGCCTTTCTTCTCTGTGCGCCCCCTCTCTAAGCACCCACTGCTCTAGGCGATCGTCTGCTGTAATTTTGGCATACACTGCCATTCAACGAGGAGTGCCATCTGCATTTTGTACAATGTCCTCCATTGTGTCCATCTCCGGAAGGACTAGTACACAGAACCCCCAGAACCGAATCTAGGTCCTCCTAGATTCAGCGCTGATGCTTGAATCTCAGGCATCGGCAGTGGCTGGGAGGGCATTCGCACAATTGAAGCTCATGTGCCAGCTGTGACCGTACCTCGTGAAGTTGGATTTGGCCACGGTGGTCCATGCCTTAGTTTCCTCTAGATTGGACTATTGCAATGCTCTCTACGTGGGGCTGCCCTTGAAGACGGCCTGGAAACTCCAACTGGTCCGACGGGCGGAAGCCAGACTATTAACTGGAGCAAATTACAGAGAGCAGTCAACCCTCCTGTTTAAGGAGCTCCACTGACTGCCGTTTATCTACCAGGCCCAATTCAAGGTGCAGGTCTTGACCTACAAAGCCCTGAACGGTTTGGGACCCTCCTACCTGCGCAACCGTATTTCCACCTACGAACCCACATGATCCCTTCGATCTTCTGGAGAGGCCCTTCTTTCGCTCCCTCCCCCCCGCATCGCAAGTGAGGCTTGCGGGGACGAGAGAGAGGGCCTTCTCTGTGCTGCCCCCCCGGCTCTGGAACTCATTTCCCAGAGACATTACACAAGCCACCACAATGGCAATCTTCAGGAGGAATTTGAAAACCTCGTTATTCCAATGTGCTTTCAGTGATTGAATGAAATAATCTCCCTGACCACACTTTGCACAGTCTATTCAGGATGCAACTAGAGCATGGACTACAGTTGGCCAAGTCTGACTTATCAAGGTATGGGTGCAACTGGTGCCCAAGTTTCAATCGTGCAAAAGCCCCCCTAGCCATTGCTGAGACCTATATAGAGTTTTTCAGGCTAGTTTTTAAAAGTCTGTGCTTTTTATACTGCAGTGCCAAATACAGATCACAAGACTCACAGATACACAAATATCCACTTCATACAGTTGTTCTATTAAACAAATGAAATATATATATGTATTTGCCCACCCACAGAGATTAACCTCAGAAGCCACACATACATCAAAGAGAAAATAAATTGTTGTTTGAAGATGCAGCATCTGGAAGATAAGAAAAAGAGGCTTTTAGCATCACTTCCCACGTAGCCTATTAACAATTCTGGTTGTGGTTACGTTTTGAATTGTACGTGTTGGAGTGCAGCCAGGGTATTGAAAATATCCATTATCAATTTGCCTTTGGATTATCCAGGTTAAGGCATATGTAGAAATCTTTCTACAGTGATTCTTTTTGATGGGTTATTTTCTATTTATGAACAGGAGGAGTGCAAGAATCCAAATCAAACAGTTGACACTGCCTGGTGGATGGTAACCTTGATAGCTGAAGAAAACAAGACGGTGGATGAGGATCATAAAGTATAGGCCCTTGCTGAGTAACACATATCCAAATTACAAGTTACCCACAGTTAAGAACAGGGGTAAGACAACAGGAGGTGAGAGAAATCTACTTCTATGTCATGCCCCATGAAGACCTTCACTGTTTATCCCTAGTTAAACCCTTTTTAGTTAAAGGGATTAATATTTTATGTACAGTTTCTGGGGGATCAATCTTGTTTTCGCAAAAGCCAATTTTTTTTCAAAAGCCCAATATCACACGGACAGAAAGTGGGGTGAAATTTTCTGAACAGAGGCATAGACAACAAAACAAACATGACAAGGGTTTTAACCCTTCCAAAGATTATAGATAGATAGATAGATAGATAGATAGATAGATAGATAGATAGATAGATAGGCATTACACTTTAAACATATGCCTGTTCCAACAAACCCACAGAACCTATTTTGTCGAAGGCTTTCATGGCCGGAATTACTGGGTTGTTGTAGGTTTTTTCGGGCTATATAGCCATGGTCTAGAGGCATTCTCTCCTAGACCATGGATACCTCCAGACCATGGCCATATAGCCTGAAAAAACCTACAACAATCCAGAACCTATTTTGTTCGTAACCTGGGAACTTCCTGTATGCACAAGTAGGACCTTTGACCCCTGTCATAAATGTGTCCAGGATCTACACTGCCACTTTTTATGTATAGGTGAGATCAGATGGCACATAGATACTGATAGATATTTCCACATAAGTCTAGGACTTTTAGGGCTATGCCATTAAAGTCTTAATTTGGACATTGTGTTTTTCAATTATGTGACTTGAGATTGAGGGTTACCACATTTTTGGGACCACACTATCCACTACAATTTTGTAAGTGTTGTGCATATTGAATTTGTTGAGTGGGGAAAATGTTTCCTGGTAGTTCACTTTTGAAGAATTTCCTAAAAGCAGCTGCTTCCAAGTTAGGGAGGGAAAGAAATTGAGATTTAATACATTCAAATAAAGGAGAGAAATGAAAGTTAGATTTTCCCATCCATAAAATGAAAATGAAGTTCTCCTATACACAAAACTATGATTTGTGTATAGGTTTAGCTCTTTTAGATCATTGCCAAGGATTATAAAGCTCCATGTTGTATGGTGATCAGATCATTTAAAGAGACATATAAACTACTCCATCACAGTTAGGCATCTTATAGTCTAAGGGATGATGTTAATCTTGGAACAAACTTCATTCCATATTCTCATTCTCATACTTACTGCCTTGGGTTCTTTGCTGCTTGATGATCACAGTCCTGAAAATCTCCGAGGCTAGTTTCTTTTTTTCAGTATGCTACTGAAACTTGCCACAGAATGATAAAAGTCATATCAAAGTAATTAGACAAAAGGTCAATGTACATTTTTTTCTTTCCCATATAATATTTGGAGCATTATCATTGTGGTGTCTCTTACGTACAGTTATGTTATGACACTGTAAAGGCTATTTCAGCTGCTCTGTTGTGATGGTTACTATTTATGGAACATAAAAGGTTTGTAAAGACCAGGGTAGGATCAGATAAAGAAAATGGGAGAGAAACAGGCATCTTGGGATGGTAACTACCCTGCCATGTACTGACAGGGAGGTTGTATATTTTTAGAATATACTGGAAGGAATGGTGCTTTTACTTAGGTTTTTATGGTTTACCATGAGATGCAATTTTCTGGCCTTATATGCCGTTGTAACAAACGTCAGAGAGATTTTATGATAGCTGCCAGAGTTCATAAATGATGGCATACACTAAAATATTTATAGAACTGTAAAATCTTGATTTCTCTCTGGTTTAGCAGATGGGGCCCTAAAACCAGTTTCTGGATTGTCACATTTCTTTACCCTTTGATGACAAAGAAGTCTATTATCACTTCCCTTTCTTTCCCCTTCTCTCTCTAATATTTCAAACAAGTTCACTAGGGTGGATCACACACTGCACAGCAATCTACTCTAGGGACCTCTGTGTTGGAAGGCATCATCAGTGCATGATCTGTAATTATTCTAACAGCCCTAACCCTATCATGAGAGATCCTGGATTCTTACATTTCTGGTGTAGCCCAAATGAATGGTCATTTTTTGTTTTGTTTTACATGCTCTGGTGTAGTCCCATGTAAAGACAATTGACAGGCAGTCAAAACACCTCTTTCTCATCACGATGGCTGCATCTACACTGTAGAATTAATGCAGCTTGACACTTTAACTGCCATGTCGCAATGTTATGGAATCATGGGAATTGTAATTTTACATAGTCTTTAGCCTTCTCTGTCAGACTGCTGGTGTCTCTCCAAAGTGCAAATCCTTGGATTCCATAGCATTGAGTCATGACAGTAAAAGTGATATCAAATTGCATTATTTCTACACTATAGCTGCAGCCTGTATTGTCTGCAAGGGAGATTCATCCCACTTGAATGCCAAGACTGGCCTGCCTCACTGCTGTGTTATTGTTGTTGTTGTCTATCTTGGATTAAGAAATATAACCATTATATGTTATTACAACTATTTGTAATTGGGAGGCTACAATGAATTTATATAATGCCATTGGCCAAAATTTTGATGTTATTGTTATTACATCAAACTAGATCAGTGGTTCCCAACCTGGGGTCCCCAGATGTTTTTGGCCTACAACTCCCAGAAATCCCAGCCAGTTTACTAGCTGTTAGGATTTCTGGGATTTGAAGGCCAAAAACATCTGGGGACCCCAGGTTGAGAACCACTGAACTAGATGGATGGTATTCAGAATCTTGGACAGCTTTTTATGAGTTTTGACTAAAATCTGCTATGAATTCAGACATTGGAAACAGCTCCCACCTCTGCATTAAATGCACCCTTTGGGTATAAATCAGCAAATATTTAAACATACATTATCATTACCATAATTCTATGAGATTTTTGAGTGTATTTTTGGCCATAAGAATTCTGGATTTGATAGAGAACTGACCTGGTTCGCAAAGATAGTCTTCATAGTTTAAAGCCTAATTGTATGCTATGGTTTAGTCTTCTGAATTTACWGAGACTTTCTCCAAATATGCTTGGTAACATTGTCTTTTGTTAAAAGGCATGATTTAGCTGAAGTTTTCTCCTGCCTCTTTCACCATTTTCTATTCATTTTCCAGAATTGTCTGTTTGACAGAATGAGGGGGGGGGGGGACCGATTGATTCCAGGGCCAAAGAGAAGTTATCTAACCTATGTGCCAAAGAGGAAAGTTGTTCCAGCTCACCCAATGGAAAGCTGAGAAGATGCGCCAAACACTCAGAGCACAGTAGCATCTTTTAACTATTCTGGACTGTTGCTATTCTCAAAAGGAACACTTCACTTTGGTGAACAATGAAGCAATGACCTTCTGCAACTGCAATTCTGGATTTCAGGCTGTGATCCAAAGTTCAGATGTGGGTCAAGATGATGGCAGCAGCACATAGTTCCAGAGTGAGCCATCCTGAGTCACCAGAAAGGAGAGGGAAAGAATTATTATTATTATTATTATTATTATTATTATACAAGAAGATCAATGCGGTGTAATGGTTTGAACTGTGGGAATACTGCTCTGGAGAATGGGGTTCGATTTCCCACTCAACAATGAAAACTCACTCAATGACCATGAGCAAGTCACACACTTTCAGTCCCAGAGAATCCCCTGATAGGTTCACCTTAGGGTCAGTATGATCTAGAAACTACTTGCAGGTATACAACAACAATTATGTTATACTTGGTGTATTATTTTTCTGTGCAGGAAAAGAAAAGTATAACAAAATATCTAATTCACACCTACTGAGATCAACAATGATGTAAGATATATCTTATCACAAATTTCTGAGACATGCAATGCATTTAATTGTAACAAACATGCCTAAAATCATACATTGGGAAAATGCATATATTTAAAAGAGGCACTGTCGTAATTCAGCCAATAATTGTACTTAATGTCAATGAGGAAGTGGAAGTGGATGATGGGATTTCTGGGCCTCTGAGCTTGTGAGCCGGCAAGTGATTTTAACTCTTGAAATTGAGTGTTCTGTGTCTCCTGTAGTTTGTGAAAGCCACATTCCAGAGAGGGGCCCAACTTTCTCTAGTGAAGCCAGTTCAGGAGATGAATTGCCAGGGGAAGAGGCTAATGAGACAAAAGATAGGAGGCACAGCTTTGTAAACGATGAACTGATTCTCAGACCTGTCGAAGGTCAATGCGTTTGTTAGAGAAAAATCCTTTATGTGCTTGCAAGGGTAAACAGAATTATTTCATGGCTTTATTGGAGACACAAAAAAGATTTTTCAGAAGTCTTGTCAATCTTGTATTTTAAGCAACATCTTGGGTTGAGCTCTAGCCAAGCTTTTCAAGGGACTTCTAGTTTCATGTCTTCAGCTGTTCAAGTTTAAAGGATTATTCTTGAGTCCTGTCTTTAGATTTTATGTTGTCTTGTTGTATCCTAATTCTTTTGCATTCCTGGTTTTTGATTCAACTTTTGTACTTTGGATTTTATGGACCATTGAATACTTTTGGACTTAGATATTTCTTACAATTTTTCTGCTCCCCTTTTTATATATTCTTCAATAAACTGCTTTGCTGATTTATCCTGGACTGGTGTGTGGTAGTTAAGTACAGAGGTGCTCCTGCCTGGAGTACAACAGACACAGAAAGAGGGGCAATTATGTATGCAAATCCATATTTTTGTAGCACTTAAAATGCCATGTTTTGAAATAAATATGCATATAATCTATGCATATCAAAAGACAAGCCCAAAACAGAACTGCAAATGTTACTGGGTTTCTGAGGAACACATCAAAAATGAAAGATATGTTCACATTACTAATAGTACCAAATCCAGTACACTGATGAACTCTTTGGGAGACACTTGATTAGCTGGGATTCCTGTTCTTTTTCCAAACATTCCAGGAAGTGAAGTAATAATGTTACTTCCTGCAGTACAGTTGATTTCGTACCAACCATACAACATGAGTGCCTGGGATGCAAATTCTACACTCAGAGGTTTCCTAATTATTCTAATCACTTTTTTTTTGCATAGCTTCAGCAAATCTTTCCTCCCACTCTCGCTCCCTACTTCTCTTTCAGGAGCCATAAGACCACTGGTCCCATTAACCTGTTTCTTGGAACAATGTAGAGCTGGCAATTCGGCGTGATTATTATTCTATTCCAGAGGAAATGGAAATGATTTACATTTATGATGCCAGCATTTTCCTCCTAGTTGCCCCAGTAAGAACTGTGAAATGATTTATAAGGATGCAGAACTGCTGGCACAGATGTTATACAGCTTGAGCCTGTTTTCCTTGCACAGTGTGACAGACCATTCTGAGCATGTGCCAGAGCACAGGTAGGCTATGAAATGACACACGTGCCAAAGGCATCTATACAGACTTGTAACATGTGGCCAGCGGGGATCTCAATGGCTGTGAAAATATGTTGGCACTCTTCCTCAGAACAGGGTGTTTCAGCATAGAATATATATGTAAGAGAGGAGAAAGCTTGGTTCTCATAATTAGCTGCCTCATTTAAATTCCTAATGGACCTGTGGCTCATGAAATCCATTTTACTGCAGAGGACTAGTCAGCTTTGGAAATTTGTTCTTTAAAGAAACTGAAAGACTGAGCTAACATACAGAACAAAACATTCTCATGTAGTGGAGAGCTCCAATGTTAATCCAAGGCTAATGTTATAAAAGATGATGATAGTCAACATTAGCAAATGAAGTGCTTTAAATGGTGTAATAGTACAGATTCTCATAAAATGACTAATTTATGACTGGGAATATAAATCTTTGTTTATTTTCATCTTGCATCTTGAAATCAAAGTTTTGAAATTCTTAAGGATCCCCTGTCCCAAGAGTCATTTTGTGAGTATTTTCTGATACTTTCTCTTTTCTACAAAAAGCTCCCATTTTCCCTACAAAATACAATTTTGTTCTCTCTCTCTCTCTCTCTGAAACCAAAATAGTTTTACTATTGCTCCTGGTTATGGAAAAAAAATTACGATATTTTTGATTTTGGGCAAAAATATGTTGGCAAGTGTTGTAATATTGGGTTTTGGGGTTTTTTTTAATCGGGCTTGTCCCCATGTAAGATGCCCTGGGAGATGGAGGTGAGACACAAAAATAAAGTTGTTGTTGTTATTATTATTATTATTATTATTATTATTATTATTATTTTACTGGCACAAAAACACAGTACATCACAGGAAATGAGATATATGCTGGATTTTGTATCACAAAATCACAAGTTGTACACTTCCCAAGTGTCTAGGACTGTGTAATGTATTTTCAATTGATGCACACAGATCCAAGTAAGGTGGCCTTTTGTAGTTGACAGATCATGATTTTGTCAATGTTTATTGTTTCTAAATGCTGGCTGAGATCTTTTTGCACACCACCCAGTGTGCCGATGACCACTGGGACCACCTGTACTGGTTTATGCCAGAGCCTTTGCAGTTCAATTCTGAGGTCCTGATAATGGTTGAGTTTTTCCTGTTGTTTTTCCTCAATCCAACTGTCACCTGGTATGGCAACATCAATAATCCATACTTTTTTCTTTTCCACAATTGTGATGTCTGGTGTATTGTGTTCCAAAACTTTGAAGTCTGGATTTGAAAGTCTGTCTGTCTATCTATCTATCTATCTATCATCTATCTATTTTATTTGTATGCCAGTGGGGCAGCACCTCCCAGAGATGGCTTCATAATGAAATGTGAAGCAATTAAAATCACTACACATTTACATTTTTATGCAAACTTACATTTAACAAACTGGTGTGGCATACATTTAGGATGGTAAAAAAATGAGAAATGGTGAGAATCCGAAATTGCTAGACACATCCCTTCCTAGATGCAATATGTAGGTTCTGTTTGTTATTGAACATCTGTGTCGTCCTGCTCATGTATGCAGAATGTTCCTTCGTGTTGCAGCTATGAATGATGAGCAGAGTAACTATCTGACTAAGGAACACTACCTGGTTTTTATCTGATCACAACAAAGCATAGCAAAGTAGCTAATTTTGCGCTCAATGAAAGCAAGTTTTCCATTTACTACGGACTGTAGGTATTCCCATACACAGAAGCTGAGATTGTTGTCTAGATTTAAAGAGCAAATTAGGGAGCAGTGACTCTGTATATTGGTATTCATTTTCCCCATGGGTCCCTCAAAATAGCCTATCATTCTTATTCGGCACAGAGAGATCTCAACACACCAGTTCTTAAGCAATCCAGACATTTTAGTGCACTTATATGTTTCTCCCAGGGGCTGTTGTTGGCTGGCATTGCTTTCCCTTTATCGCAACATGAATCTTAACAGCATAGACCATGCCTTGTTTACATGTGGGCATGCTCACTTCACATACATGATTCCAAAGCTGACATCTGCCTTTTTGGCAAGCTGAAATGGTCTTTCTAAGCCCTGGTGCCACTTTGTTGTGCATTCACATACTTAATTACTTCTCTTGCATTTTATTGGAATGTTACCTGGTTAAGACTGCTGACTGTTTGTTTGTTTGTGTGTTTATTTCAAACTGGAATGATAGTCATGGTGTGCCATAAAAAAGACACTTAGCCACTCTTGCTGAATAGTAATTAGGGGACACATTATTGCCATCTGGGGGAAAAATAACATCAGAAATTGGGAGAAAAAGAAAGACAAAGAAAAAATCCTTATAAAACTCAAAATCCCCTTGAAAATGCAATTCCTGATATTAGTACTATTATTGTTTATAATAATTTTAATATTGAATATTTCATCAGCTTATGTGTTAAGTATTCAGAATGCTTTTGTGTTTGAATACTGTTCAGTCCCTATCTGTTGTTAAAACATTTAGGCATAATTTTGCTGCTAAGCTAATAGCGGTGAATTGCACACCCATAACTGTTCTTTTGCCTCTATGCCACCCTGACTCATGAGGCAGAACACCTCGATATTTGGCCATCAGTTTCTTTATCTGTCTATCTACTGTCACAAAATTTGTTAAGAAAAATATACACATTTCCCCTTTCTCTTTCCTTCTTGTCTTCCTTTCAGAGAGAAGGAGGAAAAGATTAACCTAATTTTGTACCACAGTTGCACATATATATGCATTGCTTTCATTTCAGCTCCCTCTCAGTCAGGAGATGTTTCTGGTTTCGATTCTTTGTCTGTAGCGTTCACGACAGATGGTGTTTTAATAAAGTCCAGTAGGAATATTACTGTGAGTAAACAATCCAGGGCATGCCAATTTCATAATTGCTGGGTACCGACACAGCCTCTTACCTGCTGAATCCAAATTGGGAAGAAACCAACTGTGCGCACACATACCTACTAGCGGCAGCCAAATCCGCAGCTGTGGTACACTCCGACATTCCACTTCACCACGGAAGGTAAATTGCAGCTCCAATCAGGCTTTCTGGCACCGGGTGCAAGGAGCAAGTGCCATCTGGCTTGTCATCAAAGCACGGTCACTGAGGTTGGGGAAGATGAAATGACTTGCTTTTCCTAAAAATAATAATACCGGTAATAATAAAAAAATAATAAAAACCTTGCTGAGAAGAGAGATTGCAATCTTTACCATTACAGGTTCATTTTAAAACAGCATTCTTGGCTTTCTTGGCAGATTACAGAACTGGGATTTTCGACTTTAAGTCATTCCCACGCCCGATGGGGGAAATGAGAGTCTAAACCTGTTATATGCTAATTAAGGATTCACACCCACATGACTTGTCAAAAAGATAAATCTTGCTCATTTGTTTTCATCATTAGCAGCATTTGCGCCCCCCCTTTAAAAAGTATATCACTTTGTTTTCCGTGAGCATATTCTTAATATCTTGTTAAGTGATGTTGAGGTACTTTTGCTGAAAGATCCTTAGGTATCATTTGCAGCACATGGTTATTACTTATTGTTTGTATTTATGCAATGACTTTCAAAACAAACGGATTGTGATATGCATTTTGACACAGGGGAACATATCAGAAAATATATCATCAGCCGGAGGGACTCAGCTAATTTTAGTTTTGGTTGCATGTAATTAATGTAATTTCTATATCATTTTCAAGATTGTGACAGGTGCTAAACTTCTGTTGGTGGACATGTTACAGTGAATACTTCTTTTCCTGAAACAATATTTGCCTCTAAGAAGAAGAAAAGCAAAATAAAATGATAGTTGGATAATAGAAATGATAAACAACAGGGCAGAGGGGGATCTTTTAGGATTTTTTAAAAACTCATTTTTATCTGTCACCATTTTTACCAGGACACTTTCAGATTTATTTCTGTAACTGCCAATGTTCCTATTTTTCTCTTTTGGAGAGTAATAAAGGGAACATGTATCTTTTAGAGGTTTTTAAAATAAAAAATGGAAGTGAAATTAATTCAAAGAGTCATTTTTAATAAATAACAATAACAACAACAACAACAACAATATGGCAAAGAACTGATGGGATCACACGCCTGAAAAAGTTACACAAAATGAACACGTTAAACTACTCTGGGACTTCCGAATTCAGACCGACAGAGTTTTGGAGCACAATACTCCTGACCTCACGACAGTGTTAAAAAACGAAGTATGGGTTGCCGATGTTGCAATCCCAAGTGACAGCAGGATTGAAGAGAAACAACTGGAAAAAGCTGACACAGTACAAGGATTTAAAAAGCGAACTGCAAAGACTCTGGCACAAGCCAGTAAAGGTGGTCCCAGTGTGATCGGCACACTGGGTGCAGTGCCTAAAGACCTTGGCCTGACAAAATTATCATCTGTCAGTTGAAGGAGGCCACCCTACTGGGATCTGTATGCATTATTCGCGTATACATCACACAGTCCCATACACTTGGGAAATGTCCAAAGTGTGATCCAATACAACAGTCAGCATAGCGATCTTGTTTGCTGTTTACTAATCTTGTTGTGTTTCAAATAATAATAATAATAATAATAATAATAATAATACAAAATCCAGCATATAGATCTCATTTGCTGTGACAGACTGTGTTTTTGTGTAAGTAAAATACTTTATTTGTATTCCACCCTATCTCCCCAAGGGGACTCAGGTTGGATTCCTGCATACACAAACACAAAGACAACCATTCAATGCCTAGAAACAATGAAACACAGATAAAGATAAAGGCTCCCCTTTCCAGCTCTGAGGGGTGGTGCTCATCTCTCATCTCCAACTCTGGATGGTGGTGGTAATCTCTGGCTCTGGGGGTTGTGCTCATCGCCCATTCTAGCCAAAGACCCTGTGTTATCTGTAGACCCCTCCTAGGTCATGTGGCCAGCATGACTGCATGGAGCATTGTTTAGCTTCATGCCGAGGTGGTACCTATTGATCTACCTACATTTGCATGTTTTCGAACTGCTAGGTTGGCAGAAGCTAGGGCTAACAGGGGGAGCTCATCCCATCCTGCAGATTCCAATCAGCAAGTTCAGCAGCTCAGCAGTTTAACCCACTGAGCCCCAAAACAAAGTGACACTTTAAAATTACATGCTATTTCAATATTTTTGGGATTTAAAGAGATTTTACATTTACATTTGATTTTAGAATTTTTAGATTTTGATATTTTTGCCACAGTTCCACTGCTTTACTTCAGGTGAGTAATTTCTCTCTTTGGATTCCAAATGCCTTTCTCTGAGACAAAAGAAGTTGTGGAAATAGCAATAGAAAGTTTCTAAATTTTTGTAACCTTTGGCTAATTTCTATACTAAAACACACCTCCAGGTAAAGACTTGTTAAGTTAATGAAGCAGAAATAATGAAATAGCTTATTATTATGGGATATTGTAGGTGAGTTGCTGAGTATGCATATGGTAAGATATAGAATATGCTAAATAGTGGCCTGTTGCTTGTAGGTTCCATATAGAAATATCTAAATGCTGAAGAGGGCCTGCTTTTGAGAGATTGTTGCCCATTTTGGCTGCAACAATAAAGGATTGTGATCTCTTTAAGGTTTTTTTTTCAATTGGCAAAAATGTACCAGGATGAAACTTTCCCAGGTTGGCTTGGGAACAACACTAACAACAAAAGATGCAATAATACAAACAAAATGGACACCATACTGAGTAATAGGAAAGAGACACAAGGTTTTAGTCAATGTCAGTGGTTCTCACAACCTTTGACTCTCCAGATTTTAGGACATCAATTTGCAGAGTCACTGTTCACTTGGCCTTGCTGGCTTAGGATTCCTAGAATGCGAAGTCCAAAAATATGGAAAGCTGTTATGGGGGTGTAAAATGAGAGCATTGTCCCCAATAAAATATCTGTACCCTATATGAACTTTTTCCTTCAGTTTTCAAAGTCCTAGCATTGCTTTAGCTGAGCATTTACAAATACAATTTGGGCAAACAAAGAACAGGTGAAAGTCACCAAAGGATTAAGAACACAGAATCATAGAATCATAGAATCAAAGAGTTGGAAGAGACCTTATGGGCCATCCAGTCCAACCCCCTGCCAAGAAGCAGGAATATTGCATTCAAATCGCCCCTGTCAGATGGCTATCCAGCCCCTGTTTAAAAGCTTCCAAAGAAGGAGCCTCCACCACTCCGGGGCAGAGAGTTCCACTGCTGAACGGCTCTCACAGTCAGGAAGTTCTTCCTCATGTTCAGATGGAATCTCCTTTCTTGTAGTTTGAAGCCATTGTTCCGCGTCCTAGTCTCAAGGGAAGCAGAAAACAAGCTTGCTCCCTCCTCCCTGTGACTTCCTCTCACATATTTATACATGGCTATCATCTCCTCTCAGCCTTCTCTTCTTCAGGCTAAACATGCCCAGCTCTTTAAGCCGCTCATCATAGGGCTTGTTCTCCAGACCTTTGATCATTTTAGTCGCCCTCCTCTGGACACATTCCAGCTTGTCAATATCTCTCTTGAATTGTGGTGCCCAGAATTGGACACAATATTCCAGGTGTGGTCTAACCAAAGCAGAATAGAGGGGTAGCATTACTTCACTAGATCTAGACACTATGCTCCTATTGATGCAGGCCAAAATCCCATTGGCTTTTTTTGCCGCCACATGACATTGTTGGCTCATGTTTAACTTGTTGTCCACGAGGACTCCAAGATCTTTTTCACACGTATTGCTCTCGAGCCAGGCATCCCCTCTTGAGCCAGGCAACAAACATAAGGATTCTAAGTATAAATTATTTTCAGCATCTCACTTCTGCAATGCTAGAAAAAAATTGGAGACAGAAATAAAATCCAGCCTGTTTTCCACAAAACTTATCCACATCCCCCAAATTGGACTGCTGTTTTGATATTTGTAGGATGGTACCAGTGTTAAAAAGTCCCCAGTGTGCAGCGGGTTAAACCACTGAGTTGCTGAACATGCTGACTGAAAGGTTGGCAGTTTGAATCCAGGTAGCGGGGTGAGCTCCTGCTGTTAACTCCAGTTTCTGCCAACCTAGCAGTTCGAAAACATGCAAATGTAAGTAGATTAATAGGTAGTGCTCTGGTGGGAAGGTAACGGCGCGCCATTCAATCATGCTGGCCAGATGACCTTGGAGAATTTACAGACAATGCCGGTTCTTCGGCTTAGAAATGGAGATGAGCAACACCTCCCAGAGTCGTACATGACTAGACTTAATGCCAAGGAGAAATTTTTACAAGTATTAAAGTGGGATTCACCTGCCTGTCCAATCAGCTTATTTGGTTGTTTAGTTACCTCAGGCAACTACTTTGCAGCATTCCTGCCACTTTCAGCACATACGTGTAACTAAAATAGGAATGTCTTGAGAGGTTACTCCATATAGAAGGCATAGAGTCCGCTCTGAAACCTGGGTGACACCCTTTGTAATTGTGCTTACTAAGAATCATCTGGATGTTCAAATCTTCAGTAATAATAAATGTGGTTAGAGGTGAAATATATATTACAAACAACCATAGGGAACCCTATGGTGAAGAATTTTCTCCCTGTTATTGGTAGCTGTAATGGCACACTGTGAGGTATATATGTCATATATTAACAAGCACAGTTAGAGCATTCTTCTGCCCGGGGATTTCACTTTGTCCATTCTGGATTGGGGGATTCCAGGAACAAGAGTCCAAAAACATATCTTTTTCCATCTCTTTTCCCTTCAAGTCAACACTTCCATCAACAATCATGCATGATTAAAGGAAAACCATAAAATAATTCTGGATGACATACAAATGACTGGTGGAAGTTGATCATAGGGTCATACTGGAGTATATCTAGCGATTTCTAGAGAAAACATATTAATCAAATCCACAAAAGTTAAACCTGCAAATGCGTAGGGGCCAATTGTACTGAGATATGTGCAACCTAAAGATAGAGAGCTATGTTGCAATGTACATTGCAAGGAGAATGGAGGCTAGATAGAACAAACCACATAGAACAACAGACCAATTACACTATGTAACAAAATTTGAACATTTTTCTGTTCCTGGTTTGAAAGTGCTATTTCCTGTTTAATTGTGTGGTACTTACTTTGAAAGTAGTTGTTATACTCCAGAAACTTTGTTTTTGTGGCTGTCATAAACTATGATAAATTGGTTGAGACTATGAGATATTCATTGAAAAATAATAGCAAAATGTGCTGCAGGATGGCCCACAAAAACAAGGTTTTTGCAGTTTAATAAACTTTCCCCATGTATTTATGATAGAACCAATTAGGAAATGACATTTATAACCCAGGAACAAAAAT